ATGGGCAAAAAAAAAAAAAAAAGGTCTTACTTAACGGAAGAAGGGTTTAAAGTGGCCAGGATTTCTGGGACCAAAAAGGCATTATTCCCTCATTGAAGACAAAAAAAACAAATCAAATCCAGACTCTTCTCATTTTAATTTTAAAGTATTGCTATACTTTTATAGGCTAGTGTTCGCTAATTAAAAATCTTTTTTTTTTTTTTTTTTTTTGAGACGAGTCTGCTGTGCCCAGCTTGGAGGCAGGTGGCGGATCTCAGCTACTGCAAGCTCGCCCCCGGGGTTCCCGCCTTCTCCTGCCTAGGCCTCCCGAGTTAGCTTTGGGACTACAGGCGCCTGCCCCACCGTCGCAGGCGGCTAGTTTTTTTTTGTATTTTTTTGAGTAGGACGGGGCGGTGGGGGTTTCACGTGTTCGGCCCCAGAGATGGGGTTCTCGATCTCCTGACCCTGTGGATCCGCCGGTCTCGGCCTCCCAAAGTTGCTGGGATTACAGGCTTGGAGGCCACCCGGCGCACCGCCTTTCTATAAAGAATCGTTTTAACATAACCTTTAGGGAGCATATCTGTGTTATGACTTTTTTACCAGTATAGCTCTAAAACAACCTATCTTTGTCAAGCACATTTATTTAATTACTCCAGGTTAGATTTATTTTTTAAAAGAAAGAATGGTAATGCCATGAATTTCACTTAAAAAATGTGACAAGAATAATTTTATGTCTATTTTATATCAGTTCAAAAAATAAGCCTGGGTGTTACTGGGGAAATGCCGAAGTAAGTTTCCAGCCTAAAGGGAAGCTGACACCATGTGAGAAGGAACGGCTTCAGCCCAGGGGTTTGAAAGGCCAACCCGGGCAACCATAGTAAGGACCCCACCTCCTTAAAAATAAAAAAAAAAAAAAAAAAAAAAAAAAAAAAGGCCAGATTGGAATCCTTAGTTTACAGCCCCATTTTATAAGCGATGAGAGGTGGAATTATTTAACCTAGCAACTCAAACAAATGACAGCACACAACCTGTTAAGGTCTCAGGCAGTAGACTGATATCTAAAGACTGTTGTCATTCACCAATGTATTAACGGATATGAAAAGCTACATGTAATGAAATAGTATGAATTTTAAAAGGCTAATAATTCTAAATACTTTTATAAGCATGTATTACTTGTACAATTATAATTATATAAAATCTTAAAAAAATTTAATAGAGGAGAACTAAGGAGCAAGCAAGCATGTGTTTCAACCTCCATTTAAACACACAACTATTTTCCTACCTCAGCATCTTGGGATTTGGCAATGTCTACCAAAGTCTTTGCTGCAGGATGGACAACATCAAGAAGTTTCAGAATTGTGGCCCCATCATTAGAAATTGTTGCTTTGCCTTAAAAGAAACAAACAAAAATTTAAAGCCCCTTTCTTAAATGCTGTCTTCAAGTTGGACCTAGAGACCAGGTACACTTTACTGGGATGGGGCAGAAGGGATCACGACAGGGCTGAAGGGAAAGGATACCTATCCGATCTTTCTATACAGAATTCGCTCTGTACACAAAGGGTCTAAAATCACAAGCTTTTGAAGACCACAGACTCCCAATTTTCCTTGAAGAGTAATTAATACATATCAACTGGATACAAAGAAGATTTTTTAAATAGAAGTAACCACTCAGATATTCTTACCACAGTTGATACCCTCACACATCAATATACCAAGATATAAACAGGAATTTTCTTGTCTTGATAACAATGGAAGTGACCACAGGAAACTCCAGATGGTTCTATTTCATGTTTCTAGGCCATGTCTCCCTATGAGGCAACAGGCTTTTGAGCCTAGGTTCTCTCATATATTCCCACATGGGCTCAGCAGTCAGGACAATATAAGAATTGCAACTGCTTCAGAGTGAGTCATCTTTCAACGATCTTAAAAACAGTGGGATTTCTGAGACCAACGTATGCTAGTCCCAAACACCCCCCAGGAGCCTCCTCTCTGCACATAGGCCTGAGGAACTCTGTCGACTTACCTCTGCCATCCACAATAAGCTTGTCCATGCCACGGGGACCCAGGGTGGTTCTTACAGCTTCAGCAATCACCTGGCAGGCACTGATGTTACTCACAAGCTGGGGGATGCCTTGGGAGCTATCAGTCCCCTCTTTCAATAGGATAACTGGTGTGGGCTAGAAAAGAAAGAAAAATTAACTGCTTTTAATAATCATCTATCATAATGAGACTGGCAGGGGAAAGGGGAAAATGTTCCCATCTCTCCCTTAACAGAATTATCTAGAGGTCTTCTTAAACCACATTTCCCCCAACTGTCTACCACATCCATTCCCCATCCAGCCTCTACCTCCAGAGACACTATTAAATTTAGCCTACCCTGCAGGTATGCTAGACAGGAAAATGGTTTGAGAAGCACTGACCTCGTCTAAAAAGAACAAATCATGAGTTCTCCAGTGCCCAGCTGAATGACCATGGCCTTTTCAACTTCTGACCTTACTCCCTGTGCGGAGGAATTAGGTCACAACACAGGAGGAAGAGGCAGACCCTGCTAAATGTTCATCCCGCAGCAAAACATCCACTTGTCTGTGTTACAGCTCAATCTTAGGGAAGCAGATGGGGCACTGATGCAAAATGCAAGATGCCAAGAGCTTGAGGTGTTGTCCTGGAGATGCCTAGGCAGTCAGCTTTATATAACAGTGATGTTCAGCTGCAGTGTAGGAAAACAGGCAGAGAAACAAATAGTACCTTTGCCCTGTTTTGAAAAATGATGGCAAATCTAATTCATATAGCAATGTTTCCATCTCTCATGCTGGCTCAATAAAGTTTCTGTGTGACTAATTTCCAATCAGATACCCCAAAGAAGTTTCTCTCTTTCTATATTGCATTGGTCTCCAGAACATTCCCTATCCCTGTAAGGGCTTCATTTGCAGACCTGCTTTAGAAACTCTGAGAAACAGGGATACTTGCTTGTTTTAAAGGGCCTGCTCAGATATATTTGCTCCAGTGACCACCTTTATTAGCACAGAGGGTAATTTCTCAGCTTAGCAAACCAGAGTATTTTCCCTCTGCATTCAAATGTGAGCCTTCAGAGATGAGCCCACAAACTAGATCCAGTCTTCTCAAGTGTTTCTGGCTAATTTTGTGTGTGACACAGAATGCAGTAGGATAAATACTATTTCAAAACTTTTATTGTGTTTAAATTTGTTACTAGGCTATGATTAAAAATGTACTTCTTGGCCAGGCGTGGTGGCTCACGCCTGTAAACCTAGCATTCTGGGAGGCCAAGGCGGGTGGATCACGAGGTCAGGAGATCGAGACCATCCTGGCTAACACGGTGAAACCCCGCCTCTACTAAAAATACAAAAAATTAGCCAGGCGTGGTGGTGGGCGCCTGTAGTCCCAGCTACTTGGGAGGCTGAGGCAGGAGAATGGTGTGAACCTGGGAGGCAGAGCTTGCAGTGAGCCGAGATGGCGCCACTGCACTCCAGCCTGGGCGACAGAGTGAGACTCCCTCTCAAAAAAAAAAAAAAGAGTATTTCTTACTGTGGCATGCAATAAAAAGTTTGAAAGCCATCGCCTAGTCCTTACAGGCACATGAGATGTCTGAGCAAGGAAGGCACAGGAAAGCACAGGGTTTTCCCAGCCTAACAACGAGGAGTGAGGAATTCCTGCCAAAGACAGAGTCTAGCCACCCATGAGGCTGATTCCTTATTAACTGGTCAATTTCTTAAAAAGCTCAACTCTTTTGGCCAGCACAGCTGGAGGGTAGTAAGCAAGAGGAAGACTGGAATAAAGCTGAAGAGGCAGGCAGGAACCAGATCACATACCCACTTGTAGACATACTATGGTGAGGAGTTCAGATTTCATTCCTAAAAAGGAAAGCCCTGGGAAGCTTTCAGCAGAGGAAAGGCATACTGTGATTTACATAAAAACAAAAACCACTGTAGAAAAAAGAGGATCACTTGAGCTCATGGAGTTCAAGATCAGCCTGGGGAACTGGGCAAGACCCTGTCTCTACAAAAAGAAAACGAAAGATACCCAATAAACTCCACGGAATAAGAGAGTGGGAGTAATTTAATATATTATTCTTTTTTTTTTTTTTTTAATATTTCTAAGAGACAGGGTCTTGCTCCACCATCCACGCTGGAGTGCAGTGGTGAGATCATAGCTTACTATAAGATCAAGCCTCCTGAGCTGGGCCTCAACGCATGTGGTACCACACCTGGCTAATTTTTTAAATTTGTATTTAAAAAACGTCACCCAAGCTGGTCTCCAACTCCTGGCCTCAAACAACCCTCCCGCCTCAGCCTTCTAAAGCACTAGGATTACAGGCATGAGGCACCATGCCAGGCCCTCATTAATTTTTTTTAAATGTTTGTCAAATAATCAAACATTACTCATTTTATTTTTTATTTTAAAAAGAATGCTTGTCATGTAAACCCCTACATTTGGGGTCAGGCATCAACTGAAGGGAAAATTCCTTCCTTTTGCTGGAGTGTCCCAGGTCTGGTGGCAAGAAATGGCTTCTCTATACTGCCAGCATTCTTCCTGGCCCAGTCCGTGGCACCTTCCGTAAGGGAAAGATGCGTGTCCTGAAAGGCCCCACCATCTGCCAGTCTTGCTGAATCATTCCTTATGGCAGCCCCAAGTCTTCTCTGGTCCACCCCTGCCACAGGTGGAGTATTACACTTTAAATCAAAAACTAACATGAGTCTCAATCACTTTTCTACCACCTTCAACAGGTTCTTTCACCTCCTTAACAGCTTAACTTATCCAATGCTTGTGTACACTTTTTCTCACCTCAACCTGCAAAGTGTACCCCCATCTAAAATAGTCACTGCCATCTTCTACCAAAACCACTTTCTTACCACCAGTTCACCAATTCCTCAGGGCTCCAATTCTTCCAAGAAGTTTTCTCTACAGTAATAACAGGGGCATCTGAACAGGGGATCCCGTAACTTTCTCTTCACTTGCACTTGCTCACAACTTTTGTATTACTATCTATCTTAAGTATAAGCTTTCCAAAAACAAGGACCAGAATAACCTTAATTTGAAGAGTGCCAAGATTTGGTCACGCATTAAGCAATATTCAGCAGCTTTTGGGGCTGAAAATCCAACTGTTACTTGTAAGTGTTTAACAGTACTGGCTTCTTGACTTTTGGGGAGAAAAGCACTGTCAGTATAGTAACACTAAATTTACTTAGAGTTCTTAAGTACAATGCAAGCAGAGCTTGGAAGCAGCTAACCACAGATTCCTCAGGTTCTCTATGCTTTGTAGGCCCAGAAGAAATGGCAGGCTGGGTAGAGAGCGTCTATGGGGAGGAAAAGGTGGCAGAGCTGGGTTGAGTCAAACCAAGCCAAGCATGATATAGGTTCTCTTCTAACAGTTTCCCAGCAGCAGGCACTGTATGGAAAGTCCAGCTTCCGTCCCTTAGTTACTTTCAACCTCACTCCTTTTTTTTATTTATTACTCTAATAAATAAGAAACAAGGTCGGGTGTGGTGGTTCATGCCTGTAATCCCAGCACTTTGGGAGGCCAAGGTGGGTGAGTCACAAGGTCAGGTGTTTGACACCAGCTTAGTCAACATGGTGAAACCCAGTCTCTCCTAAAAACACAAAAATTAGCCAGGCGTGGTGGCATACGCCTGTAATCCCAGCTACTTGGGAGGCTGAGGCAGGAGAATTGCTTGAACCTGGGAGTGGAGGTTGCAGTGAGCCAAGATCACGCCACTGCACTCCAGCCTGGGCAACAGCAAGACTCCATCTCGGGGAAAAAAAAAAAAAAAGAAACAAACAAACAAAAGCAGACTCCAGTAATCCTGTCACAGGTATCATGGAAGGTTTTGGAATTTCAGCTTACTGATCTT